AGAGAGAGAGAGAGAGAGAGAGAGAGAGAGAGAGCAAGGCGTGCCACGCTCTCTCTCTCTCGCCACGCTCTCTCTCGCCACGCTCTCTCTCTCTCTCTCTCTCTCTCTCTCTCTCTCTCTCTCTCTCTCTCTCTCCCGCGCGTGACACATGGCTCTGCCGCGCCACTCACGGGGAACGCTGAAGGTGGTAGCTACGATGGAACGGCAGGGGCACGACCGGCTGCGCCCCGGAAATCAAGAGTACCGGTAACCTGTCCTGGGCAGGCTTTTCCCGGAAAGGCAGAGTACCAGAATTTAAAAAATTTGGGACAGTAGTACCTGGGAACGGACCGAACGGACCGGTACCTGACCCGACACAAGCGCCCATTACAAACTACAACCCTAACTCCACTGCCGGCCCGAGTTACATCTGCCTTTCTGAACTTCAGGCATGACAAAGTTGCCGCTGCCTGTTTTTGTTGCCAATTTCAAACTGTGATGTGACATACTAAACGTACTTCCCTCAAAAAAAAAAGAGGCCATCTAATAGCCATGATTGGCCATCTAATAGCCATGTAGTGGAATCAAGCCATTCCATCTTCAGTGGTAAAACACAGCTTGACAATTGAAATAATATGTAGAAAAAGGGTGTGCATAGAAATATAATACAATAGAGAAGCCTTAGGGTGGAAGAAGAAGAAGAAAAAGAAGAAGAAGAAGAAGAAGAAGAAAGAGAAGAAGAAGAAAGATAAGAAGAAGAAGAATCATAATAGGTGAAAGTAGAGAGAACAAAAAACCAAGCGGCCTGTAGTGTCTTGTAGCCCAAGCAACTTCAAGCAGGAATAATAATGTACATCATGAAGCACACTCGATGCGACCATCAGGCCACGCTCACATCAGAGGCATACTGCGGGCCCACAGGGTCAGCAGATGTCTAAGCCGCCGGATGAGAAGCATGCACCGACCAAGGGAAAATGCCACCCATGTGTGGCTGTTCTGCCCCTTCTCAGATACTCTCCGGGAATTATGGTGGTAGGAGAAGTGGAAAGCACCGGGAGACGGGGCGGTTGACTTGACCTACAACTTTTTTTTTTTTTTTTTTTTTTTTTTAACGAAACACACCCCTTCCATTGCTAGTGGTGCTGATAAGAGCAGACACCGCTTGCACAGAATAATCCCAGCCGGATAAAGATTCACTCTACTAGTAGGGGTTTGGTACATGGGTTCAATTTTTTGCGGAGGTGTGATTACGGAGGCTTTATGGTCAAGACGGAATGCTGTAAATGTTTGAAAGGAATCCATTCCGTATAAGAAGATTTTAAATCAGATAATGAGAAACATTAGATTAGTTATCGGAGCAGATTGCCAAAAGCATGACTTGGTGTGCTAGCAGCACACAGCCCACTGAGCAAAGGAGACATTTGTTTCAGCTGGGGCAAATTGGCTCTCGCTCAGTGGGTGTGGTAGTTTCTCCGGGGGCGTTTGGAGCTTAGCCTAGACCTGTTTCTTCTTCTTCTTTTTTTTTTTTTTTTTTTTTTTTTTTTTTTTTTTTTCCCAAAAACAATCCCGCCACTAACCTGGGGTGGTACGAGCACCACCAGGTCAGTCCCGGTAATTCGAGGGCTCCAATCTATTTGTGGGGAGAGACTGTCGATCCTCGTAAGTAATGTTCTCCCTACCTTCATTGATAGCTCTGTACTCCTTTGCTGTTAACGATCCAGTCTCCAGGACGACCCAGGCTTAAACTTACTAGATATGTCAGAGTCTATTTTCAAAATGGGACCCCTACCTGCAGTACCCCCATCCCTGATCTCCCCCGGAGACTCACGGGGGCCTGGGCCCCAGCAGCCATGGGGTAATAGAGATACCTCCATTCGTTTTCCTACTGACCAGTCTGCCTTCCACACCCCAAGTCGCAAAAAACCATTTATACTTCGTTCGTCTGTTTCTTCTCTTTCTCCAGTCGGCCCAAACCATCGACCTAATGCTGTCTAGAATCTCTTGGAGGATGGAAGTGTCAGAGTAGTGCTTAGCCTTAAAAAGCCTGTCATTTCTTAATTTCCATATCACATTCATGATTGCAGCTCTAGCTGCTATGGCGACATAACCCCAGCCCTTCTTGAAGGTGTCTTGGGGAGCAAGAGTCCTGTCATTACAAAATCCTCATCCCATACTGTGTTTCCTTTGGCAAACTTTTCCCAGTGATAACTCCACCAGCTTCAGATTCTGTGAGACTCAATGCATCCCCACCACAGATGGAGTACAGGGGCTCGTTCGACACTCCTCGGGCGCATAAAATCCCCGAGGAAATCATCGTTCCACTTATCCTCGGGGAAGAAAACAAAAAAGAAAATGTGAAAACATTTCCTCGGGCTACAGCTATTTCGACGCATTCCCCAAGGGACCTCCCGAGGTCCCTTGGAGGTCGAGCATCCGGAAGAATCGGGGCGTCGACGGCAGCTCTGTCGATGACAATTTTCGACGCGGCTGGTCCATTGCTGTTCCTGGCGGCCCGTTGACGGAGATCTCCGGTTGGCAACGGTCGGTGTCATGGAATACTCCGCCAACGGTCCCCTTTGGCGGCCTGCCTTCCTCCGCGGCGTCGAAAACAGGCTGCCGTGCGTCACTGCCCTTCGGCAGTAGCAGGAAAGCGCCCAACGGTCAGCAGATTCGAATACTTCAGCCCGCCCCCGCTCTCCCGATTGCGCAGTGTGTTCTGCGGCGGAATACGTTTAACTTACCCTGCTTTTGCCGGTAGCTGCGATCGGCCGTTTGCACCACTGACCCTCGCCGTTTCCTGGACGTCCACGATTGTCTTCTACCTATTGGCGTCGTCCAAGTGCGTTTCATGGCCGACATCTTTCGGAGGCTGCCGCTGCTGGTGCTGACCGTCCTCCTGCTCCTACTCTTAGTTGTCTTCCACGTGTGTGTCCTCGACATCGTTCCACGACGTGGCCGTAGAAGACGGTCTTCGAAGAAGGATGTGAGTATGGAGGGGCGGCAGGGGATGTGCAGGTCTGCAGGGGATGAGGGTGGTGGCCAGCGGCCTGGACAGAGCCCGTTGAGAAGTTCAAGGCCGTCGGAGTGGTCTAGGTACGTGCACCTGCCACCGCACTTGTAGCCTCTGTCGGACACGTCGGACAAGGAGGCGGAGGAGAGACGGTCACGGACCATGTCGCTGGGAAGCGGGTCCACCCAGGAGTGGGCGGCTACGGAGGTCTGTGGAAGCTGCAACGACGGTTATGGCCAGTCGCCACCCAACTCCTCCAGCAGGGGCTGAGTGGCGACGAAGGCAACGACGGCGTCAATCTGTCGTTCAGGCTGTGTAGCGGCAGGTCATCGGCCGCCACGCGAACGGTGATCGTCGACAACCATGCCGACGACAATGGCGGGCTGGTGACGGCTGTTGCGCGGTCTTCGAAGTCTCTAGCGCAGGTCCGGGAGGCGTCGGGGAACAATAGGGATCCTTTGAGGTAGCAGTACCGGACGCCGTCTTTGTCGAGGGGTGCCTCGGCTCGCCCCCTGTGGATGCAGTCTCCGTCTCCGCTGTCCGCCACTTCGACTGCAGCCTGTCGTGGAGGTGAATGCGGGGAGATTGATTGTGGCATCGACGATGTTGGTGATGCACGCGACGAGAGGGAGGTGTGGGCAGATCAGCGACGAACGCTTCATCCACGACGGGAGGAATCCATTACTCAGGGGGTGCAACGACTGCGTGTGGGGGAGCACGAAGACGACGGCGACGCACCTGCGGTGGGCCCGAACGATCAGGAGTGGAACAACGAGGACGACGAAGGTGGGGAGGAGGAAGCAGGCCACGTACCGCCGTTCAAGCAAAGCAGCATGGGAGGGAGGGGCGGGAAGACGAGGGTGTGTGGTCGCAATGGTCGTTGGAGGAAAATAGCGGTGGGGAAAGGGAGCGATGCCAAAGCTGACGCTGACACAGAAGGTCATCAATTCTGGTTCGTGGACGACATGATAGCCCTCATCCGGGCTAAACGTGACCAGGACGCGCATCTGCAGGGGATGGGCACCGCGTTCGCTCGTATGAAGCCGCGAGAATGGAAGTGGTTGGATGTGGGGCAAAGGTTGAAGAAGGTGGGCGTCGACAGAGAAGCAGAACGGTGCGGGAAAAAGTGGGACAATTTGATGCAGCAGTTCAGAAGGTGCATCACTTCCAAGGCTTGTCCGGGAAACATGACTTCTTCCAGTTCTCTTGGAAAGAGAGGTTGTCGAAGGGCTTCAATTTCACATGGACCGTGTGGTTTACGACGAGATCCTGGGGTCAATTGCGAAGAGCCACACCATAAACCCGAAGAACGTCGCCGACACTGGTGGTCTAGGTGGTGTGCGTCTGTCGTCCGCCACTATTGCGGATCATGAATCTGTGGGCGATGAGGACGCTGTTGCAGGGCACGACGACGGGTCGACGAGAGGTTCTTCTCAGACGACGGGGAGCCCTGCCGTTTCGGCAAGAGGAAGAGCATGAGGCAGCAAACTTTCGAAGCGCTGACGGAATGCATGGAGAAGCACGGGGCTCTAGTGGCGTCGACGATGGAGAGCAACAACAAGCGGCAGTGCTCCATCCAAATCTGGCAGTGTGAGGCATTGGAAGTGGAGGTCGAAGTGCAAAAAAAGCGCTACGCAGCGTGTGACGAAGTTAGCAACTGCTGTGTCACGCTCTGCTGGAGATAACAAAGGCCATCCGCGAGCGTTGGAGTTTGTGCCGCCTTTGTTGTGCGCCTCGTCGCTTCCATCATCCGCAGGACGCGAAAGTGATAGTAGTGTCGTCGTCGATGTACTCGTCGACAACCCGTCGCGGACGTGGCGGTTCCCGATTGGCCGTGCTGGCCAGGGAAGTGGGTGGTGGTCCGATTGGGTGGATGAGTCCTCCAGTCACATCTGTTGTCGTTTGCCCGAACGGATAATTCCGTCATCTCTGAATTTCTATTGACGCCGATGAAGTGCATTATGCACTTTCCTTTTTTAAACGACGACTTCGATTTGCTTTTTCTCTCCCCCTTTCTATCTATGTACTTTTTTCTCTCCCTCTGTCTCTCTGTTTCTCTCTCTCGCTCTCTCTCTCTCTCTTTCTCTCTCTCTCTCTCTCTCTCTCTCTCTCTCTCTCTCTCTCTCTCTCTCTCTCTCTCTCTCGCTCTCTCTCTCTCGCTCTCTCTCCACGAGCATGTGTTTTCTTGTCCTCTCCCTGAATGAAATGCAGAGGTGTAATAACGGTGTTGTTTTCAATGTCGTTCATTTATGAACTGTTGTTGTTCATATAGTGAATACCCTCACACAGTCGTCGATGGAGATGCCGTGCTTGTGTTCCTTGCAAATTGTCGTCTAAATGTGATGTCCAATCATCAGAAGTGGAGTTTTCGAAATGTGTTGTTTGTTGTTATCCAATTTCATGCCGTTGTCGATCCCTCGGTGGGGTGGCGGTTGTCGGAGGTCAAGGTATTGGTCCTTAACACGTCACCCGTCAAACCACTTCCAGCACGCGCAAGTTCAAATTGACGACGGCCTGCGCCTTTACGGAGAAACGGCGTTTTCTATCGTAGTAGTCCTCCCCGGGGCAATTCGTTGGCTTGTCGATGAAGATGTGGGTGCAGTCGATGCACGCATGGCAGTTAGGGAAACCCTTGTCAGCAAAAGCGTGCAACACGACCGCCTTCTGCCGACCCGTCGGCCAGGATATCTTGTCGGGGTACGTAGTCAGCAACGCCGCTGTTACATCCCGCACAACCACCAACCCGGAAGATCTGCCATTCCCGAAGCTGCATGTCCCGCTCGCGTACGTCTCCCCCGACACCCACCTGTACAAAGAGTACGTGACAATGTGGTCAGGCTTGAGCGGCTCCCTATAGAGAGTGACACGCCGTTCAAGGAAGGGAGACAAAGCTTCCGTGATCTCTCAGAACACACGTGGCGACATGCACGGCTTCTCCTTTAAGTAGTTCGTTGTCGCGTCGTCGCATTGCTGAAGATCCTCCCACGTCCCTCCTGTCCGTCGCTTCATCCACCACCTGGGCGTCGCTCTGGGGAATGCTCCACACCCCATGGCATAGCACACCTGCAGCACGACGTCGCAAATGGCACCACTGTCCTCTCCCTCCACATTCGTGGACTGCAACGTCCTCTTCCGCCATGCGCGAATGGCCGCTCTCATCCTACCCTCGCCCCTCTGCAATTGACATCAGAGGAGGATGGCGTTCACGGCCGCTGCCACCGCCGTTTTTTTTTTTTTTTTTTTTTTTTTCCCTTAAACCGGGCCTAGTGCCCAAGGCTGATATTACCAATAAGAAGATTGAGGCCGGGGTCCTCACAGTCTGCCCGGAGTAACTGAACCGAACTTGCTGAGAATCAGGCTCAGCGTCCCTCATATGGTGATGATAATGATCATGATGATGCTTAGCCTAACGATACTACTGATGATGATGCTGATAATAATGACGATTAGTGTAAAAAGGAGACTATGCTATATCAGCAATTCTGACCTCCTAATCTTATAACAACTCCTAACCCTCCCTATACCAAGACATTGTGACTCAGAGACATTACCAACCTAACCAACGTCTACCATGGCTGTTCTCTTCTCGCTCCCTTGTATCCCCCCCCCACCGGTTCACCACTGGATTGCCTTCCTCCCTTGACAAACCCCAGATCTCTCTACAAGGCCTCACACTCCTGCCATTTGCAGGTTACAGGGCAATGCCCCAACTCCGGCCAGCGTCGTTCAGGCATCGGAAAAATAGGGGCTCAGAACAGAGCAACTCTATAGACATCGATCCAGGTTCAACCATCTCTGAAATCCTATATCCCAATTGTGAAAGAAGTCTAGATGCTGCCAAAAATTTCAGAACACCAGAAAGTTTAAACCATAAGTACCTCCGAGCCTGTTTTTGCCGACCCTCATTTTCACTGCGCTCCGAGTTTTGCCGAGCCTGGGTCCCACTCCATTTCTTTATGGTACTCCCAAGATAAGAACAAAAAAAAAAAAAAAAAAAAAAAAAGTTGCGGCCGTGAAAACTCAAAAAACAAGAAAAAGAAACAAAGTTCTGGGCGTGATTGCAGCTGTATACATTATCGGAAGTGTAAGTGTGAGTGTGCCCTCAGTGAGGGCATCTCGGCCCCGTGGCCAGGTTGTCAGATTTCAGAAACTCAAAAAAAAAAAAAAAACGAACAAACATGGATTCGCCCGTGAAAATGGCAAGATACATTCGCGTAAGTGCCAGTGTGATCAGGGTTACAATCCTCTGAGGGAACACAACTCGACCAGATCACGGATTCAGATTGTCAGAGTCCAGAAAATGAAAACAAGAAAAAAAAAACGAAAAATATGAATTTGGGCTTGAAAACGGCTGGATACATCAGTGTTACAATCATCTGAGGAAACAACACTAGAGCAGATCACGGATTCCGCCCTGCCTTGTTGGCAGGGTACTCATAACAAACAAATACAAAAGAAAAAAAGAAAACAACAAGTTTGAGAACGTGAGCGTCTTTGCTGTAAGATGCATGCACGACTGTGAGGCTGTGTGAGCACGGTCTCCTAGACATCCCTGCCCGACATCATTGCAGTACAAAGGCCCGTTTTTTTTCCTTTCCCTTTCTTGCACGGGCAAAAAAAAAAATACGACTTTTGGGACATTGCCGACCCTCTGTCCGACCCCCAAAAAGTTCGGGTACTGACCAGTATCACGTAATTTCCCAACACTGGAGAAGGTACTGGTGGTTTAATATAACAGGATTGAGATGATGATACTAATGATGCCGATGATGATGATTATGATTATGATGATTTTTTTTTTTTTAAACATGATTGAGATAAAAATACTAATGATGATGATGATGATGATGATGATTATCAAATTATGATGATTAGTATGTAGAAAAAGTAGAAAACTATGCTTTACTAGAGCACTTCTCACCTCCTAATCCTAGAACACCTTCTAGCCCTCCCTGTACCAAGACATTACATCTCAAAGACAATACCCCCCTTACCAATGTCAACCGTAACTGACCCGTTCTCGCCACCTAGACTATCCCTGACCCCATAGGTTGTCAAGGCAGCCCCCCCGGTTCGCCACTAGATTGCCTTCCTCCCTCAGCAAATCCCCAGATCTCTCTACAAGGCCTCACACTTCTGCCAATTGCAGATTATAGGGCAACGCCCCAGCTCCGGCCAGCCTCGCTCTGGCATCGGCAAAGCCAAGGGCACAGAACAAGGCAACTCTGTAGATATCGGCCCAGATTCGACCATCTCTGAGATCCTATATCCCAAATGAGAAAGGAAGCCAGATGCCACCAAGAATTACCGAGCACCAGTAAGCATGATATAACATGGATGATGATAATGATGATGATGACTATGAAGATGATTATAATGAGAAGATTAAAAGAAAACCCTTCTCCCTGCCTTCCTCCATTCCCTTCATTCCCCTGTCTATCCCTTTACCCTAGTTTGCCCCCGCTGGGATTTGAAGCCCAGCCCCAAAATAGAGTATTCCTCACAATCTGCCCGTGCCCCCTCAAGGGTTTCACCCCCCTCCTAATGAAACCCYTGCAGAGCAGGGCTCTCTCCATCCCTTACCACAAATTCAACCTATTTTTTTGAAATGTAAGATAAAATTACAAATGTAGGAAGGAGCATTTATGCCCCTCCCATATAAGAAAAGAGTTAGTCAAATATTCAAATAATTTATGACTAAGTTATTGATAGTAGGAATTGATAGTAGATAAACGTGATTAAAAAAAAAAAGAAAAAAAAAAGTGCATTAATTAAAGATTTTCACCTAAAATTTTAGGTATATCAAAATACCATTTATGTTAGTTAGACAAGAAATTCAGGTTTTGAAGATAAGAAAAATCAAAAGTGTTTGAGACTTTAGTTAAGATTTTAGTTATAAAAAAGTAGTTAGGTTCGTAAATGGGATGGTACTCAGATGATGAAATTAGTGGTCAATTTGATGATTAGAAGCACAATAACAAACTTACTTCAAAAATAATGAAAATGAAGATGATGATGATGATGATGACGACGACGATATCAATGACGATGACGATGTCAATGAAGAAACAACCTGTCCTCCTATGCCCACTTTACCTCAATGATGATGATGATGATTACTACGGCGATGACAATGACGATAATAATGACAATAAAGATCCAACCTCCCGTACTTTCATGATCAAGATAATGACCCTGACACGCATTTCTCTCACAATGTTGCTTATGATGGCGATACCATTTGTGCTGCTAATGAAAAGCATGATGAGCCTATAATGATCCTCCTTGATTATGCGGCTGATGATGATGAAGATGATGCAGAACCTTTCTTAAAAAAACGCACTGGATGTCTCCTGCCAATCCTCCTCCCACTCCACGTGATGACACTCTCCTCTTTTTCACTTGCCACTGCCGACCTCCCTCCACTTAAAAAGATGAACGCAAGCTAAAGAGCATGAGTGACTCGTCATGAAACCTCACTTTCAATCAAAAGCAGGCCCCCCTCCATGTCGTATGCTAACCTGCAGCATCACTTGATGGAACACGAAGCAAGAAGATGGCAACAATGTGCTTTCAAGAGGCAGGGGAACACCAAGTGACTTCTTAGATACCGTCTGCCTTCTCACCCTCCGTTCTCATCAACCCTTGTTCATAGCCGCCCGCCCAACAGTGCTCATGCCCACACAACAACGCTCACATGGCA